AAAAGGCAGTATCAAATCATACACCACTTAATCCTGATTCCATAGCTGAAAAAGGCCTTGCCCAAGCTTTGAAAGTTTCATTTTTAAAGGTAAGTCTCAGCTTAGTTCCTCTGAAATCAGAGCTGAGATCATGAATGACTTTTGTACAGGTAATTTATTTTTCAGGTAATAGTGGAGAGCAGAAGTGACTCACACATACTTAAGAGTAGCATGGAATAATACTGATCAGCTCAGGGCTTCCCAAAGACTAGAACTGATGTTTCAGCTGATAATGGCATTGACAGAAGATAATTCAGAACAGACACGTAGGCTCCCCTTACTCCCCCATCCCTACCCAATCCAGTGCCTCAATACTTAATATTATCTTCTCTCCAAAGTTAGATGCAACCCTAGGACAAGAGAAGAAAACTTGATTGGCTTACATCAAGTTCACACTATTTATTAGAAAGGGAACTCTTAATAGAACACAGTTCTGTTACAAAAAAAAAAAAGAAGTAATTTTTGCTCACCTGAGTTTTGGCTTGCAATCTGTATTTATACAAACAGTTTATATTGCCTGTCCATTGCTACACATAGATATTATGAAAGCATTACTCTATCCTCAATGTAGGACAAGGAAGTGACTATAATTTTTGTGTCTACCATTCTTAAGGCATGTAGAGAGAAGCAGAAATCACTTTCCTGGTTTCTATGCCCAACTTCTACAATGTGTGTTATTTCCACACATTATTTCCACAATGTGTGTTATTTCTCGAACTCCACAAAGCACTTTTACTCTCCTCTATACCCACATACCCACCACTTCCACCTAAGCCCATATTGTAAGTATCTTCGTGAATATTTACCTGGGGAGGGGGACATAAGTTCAGAAGGAGTTCTTATTCATGGAAGAAGGCAGGGGAAACATTCCCAGATTTGTTCCTGCAGCGTGGTCATGATTGTTCCCTTCCACCTTTGGTTCCTTTATCCCTGTCCCTAGGAGTCCCAGTGACTAAACATCTAGAGTTCTAAACATCTAGATGATGTTTAGAAGTGAGCAAAATAACCTCTAGGCTTTGTCTTAAATCCTTTACAGTTACTTCTTGTATCATCATTTCTCCTTGTCCGGATACCACCAGGACCCAGCCCAAAACTTGTACTTAGAGAGGGTCTAGTGCTCTACCTATTTCATGCACAATTTTCAGTTTACAGCAATGAGTGTCACTTGGATGTTCCACAGTAGTGTGCCAGTTTGTTTGGAAGTTTATTTTGGAATGCTTCTTGGATAGTACAATTTTTGAGCTGAAATTTTTAAGAGGGACTTGCAGTGAAAGAGAAATTCATGGGCTTTTTCGAGTTCTCATGTCAGAGGGAACCAGAATGAAGAAAACCCACATGTAAGACGTTATCTTTTACCACAGAGTTCTCACAGGTGGGTCAAGCTCATTTTGTTTATTTGAACATTCACTCCCTGGCTCCAGTCATTCTGTATCTACTAAACATGCATGAATGGCCCCAAATATGCTGCCACTTTGTTATGATGTGATTTGCACTTACACAAAGCAAAAAGCCATAAGCCTTAAGCTTATCAATTAGTTGCCGTAAATGATGTTGTTCTAATCATTAAAGGGCAAAAAAAAAAAAAAAAGTCTGACAATGTAACAACACAAAGTGGCTAGGGGTATGGGCTCTGCAGTCAGCCACAAGTCAAGCTGAATCCTGGTTCTACCATCTCCACGTGTGTGCCTTTGAGCAGGTTATTTCACATCTTTAGGCCTTATTTCCTCATCTATAACAAGTCTACCACATACAGGCTTGGTATTAGGATTAAGTAAAATACTGCAGATAATTTAGTGCAGTTGCTGTACTAGTAAATGTTCAATAAATGTTCATTTTTATTATTAGTAAGACTACTGCTCTTATTAGTGTTGTGGTGTCATGAAAAGAAAATGGACTTTAGAGCCAAATAGATTCAAATTTGTAGCTCTTATCTATAAGTTCAATAAAGAAGACAATATTAGAATCCATGAAAAAGAGAGGAATACCATAAATTGTCACTGGTCAAGATGGTGTTGCCTGGGGAACTGCCATTCCAATGTGAACTTTCTGCTCCTAAGGTCACAATGAAAACCATTTAATTGTAGTCAATGTAGACCAGACTGCAATGACAAGGGAGTTCTCAAAGTGACAGCTGAGACTAAAAGAGTAGTCATGAGGGGCCACGGAAAGCCAGAAGTGACAAGAGAAAGGAGGTATCAGGAAAAGGAAATCATTTGTTTAATTTTGTCTTATGCCCAATCTTCTTTTGTGTATCAGTTGGAGTACTAGTTTTCGAATATAAAAATTTAAAAATCATTGAGAAGTACTGATATTAACAAAAATGAAAATCAATGAGTCCTTAACTATATTCACAGTACAGTGAGTACATTTTCTAACTGCACTCTCTTGGAATTATAAAACAAATAGAAGATAAATAATTGTCCTTATTTTGTAGAGAGAAAGTTGAGGCAGTGAGAGGTGATGTAGTTTGTTCAAGATCACACAGATACTAAGGGGTGGAGTTGAAATTTTAATCTAGCAGTTATTCCAGAATCCAGGTTATATACCTAATATTAGCAAGATGAAAAGGTGACTTAACATTTTAAAAGATATTTATAGTATGAAAATCAAATGAGTACTGTATATCTTATACTACTGACTTTTCTCTACTATTTGAAATGAGAAATAGCTTTTATTATTACTATATTATTACTACAATATATTAAATACATATATCCTATGTTTTCAGAGGGATGAGTTAATTCATGAGAATAGGATATATTATTTCTAAAGTTTGCATTATTCTGCAAGTGAAATATTTTTACTTGAATCTCTTGAAACTGAGATTCAGAGAGGTTATGTCACCTGCCCAAAGTCACACAACTAGGCCAGGATTTTAAAACTGATCGGTCTGACCCTGTATTTTCACTATGCCAAACTGTTTCACTTTTTAACTTTAAATCTAAATTGTTTAAAAAAATATTTTTTTAAGTTGATGCCTTAAAAGGCAATCTCATGCTTCCAGAAACAACTAGATAGATTTTATATTGCTTCTTTCCTTCAAATTTTGGAAACTCTAATAAATTTAAAAGTGATAGAAGGAGTTGTCCTTGTCAGTCATCACTCTGTGACCCATCTTGAAATAAACCAAAACTCTTCT